TCATGCTGCTCCTAAGTCTTGGATTAAACCAAGATATCATCAATGAAGATTATTACAGATCGATCCAGCATCAGCCTGAACATGCGGTTCATGAGATCCATGAACGCGGCTGGATTATTGGTGAGCCTAAATGGCATCACCACAAACTTATAATGACCATAGCGAGTCCTAAAAGTGGTCTTCTGCATATCATCATCCCTGACTCGCATCTGGTGATATCCTGACCGTAGATCAATCTTAGAGAACCAATATGCTCCTTGAAGCTAGTCAAACAAATCATCTATCCTCGGAAGTGGGTAATGGTTCTTCACCGTTACCTTGTTTAGTTCTCGGTAGTCTATGAACATGCGATGTGACCCGTCCTTCTTCTTCACAAACACGATCGGAGCTCCCCATGGCAAACTGCTCGGCCTGATAAAACCCTTGTCTAGCATCTCTTGCAACTGCATAGACAACTCCTGCATCTCGGGAGGAGCCAACCGATATTGTGTCTTGGCTATCGGAGCCGCACCAGGGACCAGTTCAATCCTAAACTCAACATGTCTCTCCGGAGGTATCCCAGGTAAATCCTATGGGAATACGTTCGGGTACTCTCGCACTACTGGTACATCATCAACTTTCGCCTTACCCTTCTACCGGGTATCCATGACTTAGGCGACGTATCATGTGCAACCTTGCTAAAGGTGGTGCCTCGCTCTCGCTGCTGAACATAAAATCGGTCTGCATTGTGGCCTCTCGCCCTGGATCACTGACTCTCCCCCATTAGAAGTGTGAACCATCACTAACTGCTGCTCACGGTCAATCACTGCCCCATTGGGGCTCAACCAATTCATAGTCACTATAACCTTATTCCCACACATGGGAATAAGAACCAGGTCTATTGAAAATTGTTGATCGAATAACTGTAGTGTACATCCTTTGTGAACCCTCGTGACTCTGACAGTCCTGTCATCTGCTATCTCCACATTCAGTGGGCAACCCAGTTCCCCTGAAGCTCCTACAAATCTATTGTTGAGTGTGAGCGATACAAAAGATAGGGTGACACCCAAATCAAACAATACCAAAGCTGATATACCGTTCACTAGGAACTATCCTATAATAAAATACATAAAACATGAGCGACAATTAATATAAATAAAGAGATAAGGAGAGAATACATACCGATCACAACATCGGGAGCCACATGTGCCTCCTCTGCAGTTAACTGAAAATCCCTGCTCCTCATTGTGGGCGCCTCAGCCCGGCCCTGACGGCCATTTGTAATCCTCAGTGTGGCAGGAGTAGTTGTCGCCACCTGTCCTGTTGCACCTAAACGCAGGCACTGGGACCGCTTGTGTCCCCTCTGATTGCACTGAAAGCAAATCATATCTAATCATGTCGTAGTGGTAGTAGCAGTACAATCCCTGCTCATATGACTAGTCCGACCGTACTTGAAGCAGCCCGAACTCCCTGCCTTGCACTCCCCCTCGTGCATCTTGCCGCATTTTCCACACCGGCTGCGGCCCTACTAGCTCCTCGATATGTGATCTGACACCTTGGGCTTCTTGCCCGCACTCACTGCCTGCACCCCATCGGGTTTCTTCTTCCTCTCCATCTCCAAATCTAGCTCCCTTTCCCGAGCTCTCGCAATCATGTCTTCCAGCGTCTTGCAGCTTGAACGGCTCACAAACTGTTGTATGTCACTCCTCAATATCTCATGATATCAGGCCTTCTTCATCTCCTCATCTGCCATGTACTGCATAACAAGAAGGGCCCTCTCCCCTAAACTTGGCAGTGATCTCAGTCACCGTCTAAGTGGTCTGCTGTAAATCCTGGAACTCTCTCGCTAGCTGCTACACCTAAATCATAGGTGCAAAATTGGCCCTAAACCTAGCTGAAAAGTCACTCCAGTTCATCGCATCTGAAGTTATGTCATCACGAATGGCATGTCCGACCTCTTCCCACCAGTCGCGTGCCCTGTTCTTCAGCAGACAGGAAGCAAGTAGGACCTTGTCCCCCTCGGGACATCTGCTCGTACAGACAGCGTTGGTGACATCATCCAACCATCTGCTTCTAGCAATAGGGTCCTTAACCCCTTGGTAACTTGGAGCTCCACAAGCTCTGAACTCCCTGAAAGTCAGTGTACGGGCCCCTAGCATGGCCGCCATCTCAGTGCAGAAAGCAATCAACCTCTCATCGAGAATCTCTAGGATACACATCATAACAAACATCAGAATACTAAACAACTCTCGAGGGATCACATATATACTACAAGTTCCCAGATTCATCTCAACCTTCCTTGATTCAAGTATGGATCATCTGCTTTTAGTAGTACGGGCTCATACTACATTCCATATCTATCGGTACTTTCCTCAGTAACTGCCTTGACTTCACCAAGTCCCTTCTATTACTACTGCTTCACGCGCTAATCTCATCCTAGGCTTGTCCTAGGGTAATCACCATCCCACTCTCCGCCATCAGCTGCATAAGAAGTTCCTGTTATCTCCCCCTAACTATCTCGTGAATACCATTGCATATCACTAAGACTAGATAACTTTTCGAATGAAGATCCTACCCTACAACGGTTGGACTCAGAAAAGAGCTGCGAAATAGAGCTAGACCTAACATTCTGAAATTATTTAGTCATTGCAATATGTAACTTAACATATTCGTTTACTAGTTAGTAAAAGATAACTAGAACTCCTAAAAGCACAAAGCAAACAGCATTCGAGCCTTGAGTAAACATAATCAAGCATATCCTAATCAGGCCATCATATCACTGACTAATCTGTACTAGCATGCAGTTTATAAAGTTGATACACATATAACAGGCACATAAGGCATCCTTCCTTGATCCTTAGCCCTAATCTAGCATGCAATTCTCATAAACATAGCATAACATAAACTTTTATGGGTAATTTGAGAGTACTTACTTGAGTTCGGTTGATTGCATGCACCACAACCTTTTCTCCTTTTTAAAGTTCTTTTCGCTTTTTCTAAAATTCTTTTCTTTTTCTCAAAGTCCTTTTATAAAAATGATTTTTCTTTTAAAAATTTCTATACCAATTCCTTAGTTTGTGTTCAGACACACCCGAGAGTGTGTCCGAACCCCTCAAACCAAGGCTCTGATACCAACTTGAAACACACCAAAAATACAATCCAAAATTTTCATTTTTAAAACATTTAAGAAAACCATAATTCAACCATCATCATATAAAGTCTGAAATATCCCAGGCTAAACTGTGGTGTGTGTCATGCGATCATCCCGAGCCCTTCCCCTTGCTAGGGGAAGTACCTGAAACCAAAACTGAAAACCGTAAGCACGAAGCTTAGTGAGCTCCCCCAAACTACCACATATCATACACATAACATACAATCGTATCTTGGGCCCCACCCCTGCTACATCGAGTCTAGCTCGACATCGGCTTTCCCGGCATCGAACCCTATTCGGCATCGGGCCCGGCCCGGCATCGAGCCGTTCTCAGCATACATATGAATATATCAACTAACATATAATATAAACACATATACTAACATGTAAACACTTCTCGGGCCCCGCCCGACATCGAACCGAGATCCGGAAGCATACTAACTGTCCTCGGGAACCTAGTCTTATCAAGAAGGTTGTTAAGCCGGTAGGAAGCGACACACCTCTTATTGGCTGCAACGCGTCTCATGAACCTAGTCTCGATTGATGGTCACAATGAGCCTGGCCTGTTGATCATTGACTTTTTGACTAGTTTAACTTTTGGTCAAATTTTGGTGTGTTATAGGATTTGAATGAGGTTTGGCCTCGGTTGGATGATTAGGTGGTTTGTGCTAGCTATTCATTGTGGAGGCTATGGTTGTGATTCTTCTGCTAGACTCGGGTGAGCTTTCTAACTATATTTCGTATGACAATAGATATTCTTTGTACGATAGGATGTAGATATTGCTAATGTATACTTATACAAGTAAACGAGATTAGTCTTTTGTATGTTTGTTGTCTGCTTGATTGTATGGTGCTTTTTTGTTTATGTTTAAGATGTTGATGATGGAACGACATTAGGTTATGAGTCTAGATACTCAGAGTCGTTGACTAAACGATGTTAGGCTATTAGTCAGTTGTTAAGTAATGTTTGAGGGTCGATGACGAAATGACATTAGGCTGCGAGTCAACTGTTAATGGTGGAATGACGATAGGTTACAAATCATTTGTTTGTATGCATTGTATGTGTATTGTTGTATGTGATATATTTGTGAACTCACTAAGTACTATGTTTACCTATAGTTTACAAATGTTTTTTTCATGTTGTTCTAGTGATCAAGGCAAGGTGCGGGGTGACTATAAACTCATATCATTGGGTTTTTATGATGTACACTTCTATTGATTCTATATTATTACAATTTTTTTTTTCTATTTTGGAAACTATGTTTTATAACGTTGAACAAATGTATTTTTATATTATTTGTGGGAACGAAGCTTGATACTTTATTATATTCTGATAATGAAATTTTTAATTTGAAATTTAAGACCTTGCATACGATTTTTTTTTAATGGCACGACTTTTGATAAATAGGGCACACTTATGTAAATGTCACATGATACTCTTTGGATTAACTTATGATACATAATTACATATGCCATAGAAGTTTATCATGTACTATTTAACAACATTACAAATCATGTACATTCAATACAAACTGTTAATATGCAAAAATATTTTAAAAACTATGGATAACCAAAGTTCCACTTATGTCGCTAAACAAAATGCATTACAGAACTAGTACACATTTCAACTTGTCATTACGCAAAATCCATTAAACCAGTTTAACTAGAAACGTTAACAGCTTCCATTTCTTTTGGTTTAATTCTTGTCTAACAACCAAAACTTCCTTGATTCATCTTTCATGTGGTAGTTGTTCATGTCATTTCCCTCGTATACCATGTTAAAAAGTTGAGTGAAGTTCAATGATAAAACACATAAAAAGGACTAAATAATATCATTTGAAATATATATATATTTACTCGGTATATGCAAGGGTATTTAAAACGTTGAAAAAATGTAAGCAATGAGGATATTCTTGTTCAATAGTACATGAAAATAATATTCAAAAGTTTATAACATAAAATGCTCTAATAAAACTAAGCAACTGCAAACATTCGTATAGTGATTCCAGAATATAAAGTTTCTTAAAAATAAAACAAAGATCCCTTCAAAATTTTATGAAGCTCTAAAATCTCACACTTTAGCTTCATCTCCAAATCTTTTTCAAGAACCCTACGCTAAACTTGTTGTTTCTTCAAATCAAGAAACACTTTACCAATTTGCCCCTCACACGCCACAGAAACTTCCGGATCCAAAGACTCAAGAAACTTAGCGGATAACTTTAAATTGGTGAAAATCGTAAATAATTTCCCACAAAACTTTCTGACTTCCGCCCTTTTGGATTGCTTTTCAGGCATATTCATCACCAATTCCTTAATCAAAACACAAATTTCAGACATATGTTTACTCACCATCTTCTTTCCAACATCGCTTCCTTCAATGTTCAAAGGCTTCAAAATCTCCAACACCAAATCAAGCCCTTCAACTCTCCGAAATTTCGATTTCGCCCCTCCACATTTCTCAACTAAAAACCCGAAAAAACGTCTCCCGATCCACGCCCACCTCCTGAAAATCTCCTTCAAGAAATTCAACTTGAGCATCGAGTTTTTCCCATCGAAATAACGGGTTAAAGCCCCTTTAAAAATCTCAAACACCTTCTCCAATTCATCTTCCTTGAAGCTTCTAGAATCAATGATCTTCAAGATCCAGTAGATTGAATTCTGGGCGAGATTCACAATCTTTCTGTAACGTTGAAACGAAGCTGATTGTTTCTTTTTTGATGGAGTGATTGCTGATTTCTTCTTTTTGAAAGGTTTTGATGCCAATTTTAGATTCTTTTCAAGTAGAGGCTCGAGAAGTGATAGCTGAACAGATTCGTCTTTTGGATAATGTTTTGCTTTGAAGATTTTGTGTTCCATGATTTTACAGATCCTGTCACCTAACTGTTCACTTCCTTCAGTTGTATTGGGGTTCACGAATGCTTGTGCAAGATTTGTGAACACCTTCAATACTTGTGGTTTACCTGCATGATATGATATGATGTTAAATTAGATTAATTTACATTCTTGGTCCCTGAGTATAGCTGGTTTTTGAAATTCTAGTAATTTGAGGTTTTTGTAACATTTTTGGGGGTCAAATTTGCAAAAATCAGGTATACTCAAGGACCAAAAATATACTAAAAAACTGTTACAAAACCTCAAACAAATTTCTTACAATAGCCCCAAATTTAGAGACCAAATTTGCAAAAGAACTTTTTTGGGACCAAAATTAGTACAAAAACCTAAAAGACCAAAATTGCAAAATCGGCTAAACTTAAGGACGAAAATCGTTACAAAGAACATCAAATAAGGACCAAAACTACAAGATAACTTTTTGGGAGGGAGCAAAAATGCAAAAATCAGCTATACTCAGGTACCAAAAATGCAGAAATAAGCTATACTCAAAGGACCAAAATTAAAAGAAAACACTTTTAGGGACTAAAAATGTAACATATTATAAAAGTAAAAAACTTGCCTTGATTCTCATGGAGGTAGATTTCAAGCAAGGAAAGAACACGGAGTTTGAAAAGAACAAGCTGAGAATGAGCAGTTTCCCCTCCTGCTTGGTTTCGTTTCTCTTTAAAGATCTGCGCCAGATACGAATCCATTCTAAACATGGCTTCATCATCCATTCCGCCATCGGAATCGGAATCGGAATCTTCTTTTCCGGCGGAATCAGCAATTCCCTCGGAGTCTTCGGATTGGTCATCAGCAGCTTCACCACCGGTTTCCGCTTCATCGGAATCTTCAGCTTCTTCGATTTCTAGAAGATCATCGTCATCAGTGTCATCATCATTTTCAGTATCGGAATCCTGACGCCTTGCGGGTTTTAAATCTTTTTTTATAACTTTCAACATTCGGAGTAAACCATCGTCTGTCACATCATCACTGTAGTATTTGAAAACCTACAAAAGGTAAGTGGAAAAATGTCAACAATGGAAACTTGAAAATTCTATTTCAACTTCTATTTGCTTATTATGAAGAAAATCAATACAAGTATGTTGATTGATTATACCTGTTCAATGGAGGATCGCATGGGAGCTGATGATTGAGGAAGCAATGATAAGAGTGTATCAACAAAAACATCCATTAACACAGGTGCATCATCACCATCTGCATCTGCTTCATCATCTCCAGATGAATCAAGAAGATCGGGTGATGGGAAGAATTTTTTGCAGCAAATTATGATTTCAGAAGCAGCTTCAAAGAATTCCCCTGGTCTGAGTAGGATTTGGAGCAGCAATTGGATGAGTAAGTACCTCAATGCATGCAATCTGTGAGCATCTGCACTCATCCCACAATTCCTTTCCTGAAATTGTTCAAACTCTTTTTTAGACGCAATATAATATGAAAGGTTTAACTGGAAGTATAATGTTGTAACAAAAAGAAATAGAAGTAGGATGCTGTAGGAGTGAGTTACCTCTTTGGAAAGCCAATTTTCCATGGCTTGCAATTTCTTGAAAGCCTTTTCATCTTCATCGCTCAATGACCTAAAGAGGGATACAGATGGAATGTTGCGCAAAACACTGAGAAATTTCATGAAATAAGAACCAAGATCATTAGCTTCTTTCCCACTTGTAACTGTATGAGGCCATTCTCCTTTTTGAGCATTGGCCAAAAGTAATTGCAGCTGTTCAATACACATCCTGCAAAGAGAACTTGAAGTTGCTGCTTTTGGCCATCTAAACTTCTGATCTAACTCAAATGAAGTCACTTCAGTCCCTAAAGATGAAGAGAACAACCCCTGAACAGCTAAAAACTTCAAGATTTCTTTCTGAACACCAAACTTTCCTTCACCTTCAGGCAGCTCGTTTGAATCCTCAGTCTTATCAAGCTTTGCATGTTTTAAAACACTTGGAAGAGAGTCCACAACCCAACTTTTGAGAAAATCTGAAGTGACATCTTTCTCTTCAATCGAACCGATTTCTGAATTATCATCAGTTGTTTGACTTTGGTCAGATGGTTCTTCTAAAGGTCGCACATCAAGAAACATGTCGATTAGGTTTTTAATGAAAAGCATACAGCCAGGTTCAGTAGTGAAACCTGACATTAGATCTTTTACAGTTTTAGTCCTTGTAATGCAGTCGAATTTCCCATTGCTGTGTTTTTGTAGAGCCATGGTTACAGCTACCCGTTTTCCATCATCATTGCTGACCCAATCTGACAGCTTTTCAAGAAAGTATTGTGCAAATTTGTAAAGCCATGAATCCTTTGTGGAAAGTATGTCAATTAGACATTGGACAATCTTGTAGGATAAAACAATTGGTATGCAAGAAACAGGGAGTCTTGGTAGAACAAGAAGCATAACATCAAACACCAAGTGTTTTCGATCATGAGAGGATAAAAGAAGCGACCCTTCGATGATAACATCCCAGAAATTTTGTAGGTTTTTCTGTAGATCTTCTTCATAAGAACTCGATTTGGGTTTCTTTTTGTGCTTCTTTGTAGAGTTTAATCCTGTTGATGAATCAGTGCCTTCTGGGACAACATCGGGTAAAAGGATATTCACTAAAACAGGCCACACACCATGAACTCGAGGCTGACAAAATGTTGACTCCTGCAAACCCACAATAAAAACTTCAAAAATTACAACTTTAACCCTCGAACTGATGCAAATACCATGAAACCATTTTTAAAAAAAAAAAAAATCACCTTTAGGCAATTTGAAAGAATGGATAGATGTTCAGGAGAGAACATTGAGCTAGAACTGTATGGATTTGGCAAAAGCTTCCCAAATGATCTGTTGTCATCAGATAGTTTTTCTCTTAGTTTAAGAGCTAGAAGTAATGCATCAGGATTTCCAGCTTCTGTGGCTCCTTCAAACCATTCATGGAGACCAGGAGCATCAAGAACTTGCTTCAAGACAACTTTAACAGGCAACTGCAATCCATTTTACACAGATCATGAAAGGGTATTAATGGAATGATAAAAAAAAAAATTGTTTTATCCCATCAATTATTAAGTACCTTTTCAACTAACTGCAGGATAACAACAACAGCAGGCTCCTGGAGATAACGTTTCTTGGTGGCTAGTGTAATAACAGCACCAGTGAATTCCTTAATATACTCGCTTTCCTGAATCAGTCTTCCTGATCTTGCAAGAGCACCATAAGCAAACAAACGACCTAAAAGACAATCTTTGATTTCCTGTATGACATAAAGAAACACACAAACATTTAGAAAGGGAATAAATAAGTCATCAGTCATGTTCAAAAAAAGTTAAAAAGAGATTACAATCCCACCTGTCCCTTCATAGAAGAAGAGACTTCCAATAAGTCAACTATAAGTTTCAGCAAAGAGTCCAATGCAATATCAGAAACTGCACCAACTAACATAGTCAAGCCCAATGCAAACCCTTGTCTTGCACACTGAAAAAGAATAACCAAATAAGCACCTGCTAGTAAAGACAACAATGGTCATATAAGTAAAATCAAAGTGAGGAAGCACACACCTCTCTTGATGAGGAAACACCACGAATAAGCCTTCTGACAGCATATCTTATGGAAGGTGCACAGTTATTCAATCCATCCTCTTTCTCAGCTTCCAATTTCAACCCACCATCAACATCTTCCTTCTTCTCGAGCATATTATAAGCCTTCTGAACCACCTGCAACTCCATCACCAATCTCTCTGCAGCAGCTTCCCTTACCAAACCATCGGCAGATCCCAAATCCTTAAACACGCCTATATGAAACTCAGGCAAACTGTTACTTGTTCTACTCTTCTCAACTTCTTTGACCTCCAAATTTGCTAGAATTGGCTTCACTTCAGCGTTATCACCCGATGTAGCGCGGTGTTTTTCTTTATCTAATGCTTTTCGTTTTTTCTTCCTCTCCATTGGTTTAACACCATTGGAGCTGTTATCGTTATTATTTGATTTTTCTATCTCCTCTTCGTTCTTCGTCACCTTTTTAATCTTCTTTTTCAAATGCTCACTCGAAACTTTGCTATCAGAGCTTGTATTGCTCTTCTGGATATCTATTTCTTCTACACTATCAGAGCTCCTTTTCTTGCTACCCATTGATGTCAACGAATTTAGGAAATATCTGTTAAATCAGAAACAAAAACACATAAACACAAAGATTATTGGAGCATAAGAGCATAATATCGATTGTAATGAGCATGTTACACGAATACGAACCTATTATAAAATATATATTATGTAACTATTATAGCTATTATAATCAATAAATAAGAAAACAAACCATTAAACTAGCTAAATAACTTAACCATATTAGTTTTTTAGACATGTTTGTAGAAGATTGTAATCAACTAGAAGTTACATTGCACCCATTGGCTATTTCCTTCAATCTTTGTACCATAAGCCCAACCAGGATCGGTTTTTTCTTTTACTAGCCATTTCTAAGAAAGTAGCAGTGATCAAAACATGAATTAGAAGTGTAATACTAACTTACTAAGCCTAATCATCAAACCACAGTGAAAGACAGCAGAACAAGTGAAAACAGGAAAAAGAAAAGAAGAAATAGCAAAATTTTCCAATTTTGGACCTGAAGTCGCCGGAGAAGAACCTGGTCGAAGGTAGAGAAGTCGCCGGAAGAAGGCAGTCGATCCTGGTGGGGGTCGCAGGAGGTGGACGCAAGGAATCGGATGCAGAGCAAGTCCAAAGCGTAGAGGCGGGACTCAGGAGGCGAAGCAGCGAACGAGCACGAGACTGATTTTAGTTAGCGTGAGTCCTCAACCCTAAAACGTTCTTTTTATTAAAAATAATAATAATAATAATAATAATAATAAATAACCCTATCGCTAACCGCTATTTGTGGCTATTTACACCATAGCGGTCGATGGTCGCCTCGCCTCGCCTCGCTATTTGCTATGGTCGCTATTGACAACTGTGATCTGAAGTGCTTTAAGGTTTTGCTAAATCCTAACGGAAAAGATGAAACGAAGCGTTTTTGTTTTTCCAAAATAAAATTGTCTGAAGTCTGCGGATCACTTTTGCAGACCTCTACAGCAGAAAATGTGAACCAAAGTGTTGCAGAATGTAATGAGAAGCATATTTGTTTTTTAATATCTGCAGGCTGCTGCACATATTAAAAAATTTAAAATTAAGTAATTTAATAAACCGAAAATAGTTTTTTTAATAACAAAAATTTAATAATTGTAGACTTAAAACATTGAAATAAAATTGAAACAACCAAATTAGTTTTACAATTACATTTTTAAATAAAATTCATACATCATGAATGAACAAAAAAAATCATATAAGCAAAGATTATACAGCAAAATCAATAAATAACTTTAGCATATTCAACTATTTAAGCACAGCATTCATAACCATTCAACACAAAAATTCATAAACCTAAACATAAAGTTTATACAACACAATCATCAAATAAGTTTTGCATTTAAGTTTATGATTTCAGCAAGGATTATGATTCGACAGAAAAATTTATAAACCTAAACATAAATTTGAGCAGAAAATTTATTTAAAGAACAATTATATAATAAATCAACATTCAATAAAGCTTTTAGCAACGATTCTTCACATCTCAGCAACAAAATAAGTACTCAAATGTATAGAGTTGGTACTTTATAAGAAAAAAAAAAACTAACCTGATGTTGAAGACGATGGCAGCAAGGATCGAAACTGCGCTTGGCAGCAGCAGAGGGTGCTGAGAACGAACGAACGAACGAAGAAGAAGGGTGACCAGTCCGGCAACGAAAGGGCAGGGTCGGCTGGAATCGATCTTCAACAGGGATGAGAAGGGTGCTGAGAACGAACGAACGAAGAAGAAGGGTGTTGCGGCGTTTTTTTTTCTTTGCGTAGCGTGTTTTTTGTGTAGGGTGTTTTTTTAAGTTTAGGTTAGAAGTGGATAGAAGAGTCAGGCCCAATGTTGTATGGGGAAGAGGACGGGAAGAGGTTTTTGAGCCCGAAGTCTGCAGAAAAACAAACTGTTGCGAACTTAAAAATGTTGCGTGTGTGCTGCGCCACTATAACATCCCAAATTTCAAAGCCAAAAAATTCATTTTTAAATAAGTTATTACATAAAACCATTAGTATAAAAAAACATTCATAATAATATCTTGTGTCAAACCAAGGTGTCAGTAATCAAAACATATTATCATAAAACCATATTAGAGTGTAATCCTAAAGATCTCACGTGCGGAAAACAAAGTGTGATGTGCTGCGATCAACCCGAATCCTTTCCTTTAAACACGAAGTACCTGAAACCAAAACTGAAAACCGTAAGCACGAAGCTTAGTGAGTTCCCCCCATCATACCACATACCACACAATCACATAACATACATACTGCTAGGCATTTATGGGGTGCCCGACCTACCCGGTACAGCCATTACGAGGTGCCGACCTACCTGTGTCAAGCCATTATGGGGTGCTGACTACCCATGTTAAGCCATTATGGGGTGCTGACTACCCTTTGGTCCTAACAACCGAACCTCGAGGATTATTTCACCCCTACTACTACTACTATCACATATCATAACATAACAGATTATCAGACATATATAGGGTGTCTGAACTACCCTTCGATCCTAACAACCGAACTCGGGGACTGCTCCCCTCCTACTACCTCTAACTCATATAACAGATCATGCTAGCATATAAACATAACATCACATACTATCAGACGTATCTGGGGTGTCTGACTACCCTCCGATCCTAACAACCGAACTCTACTACTATCACATATAACATATCATGCTAGCATATAACATATCAGGTAGTAGCAAACCTAAATGATATCACATAGACAATCATCTATCATACGTCTCATACTGGTGGGTTGGCATTGTGGCCTTAGACCCACCGCTACTGGAAGGTAACTCACCTCACATTGATGAAGTCCCGAAGACACAATCCCACACTTGCTGAAGTCCCGCATACTCGACCCCAACTTTTGGCTGACACATTCCCGAACTTGGTTGCCGGTGGTAGTGAGTGGCGGCAGCCACCATGGCTGGCGACCATGGTGGTTAACTCCTTGATTTTCGGCCAAACACACACACACACACTAAAACATTAGGCTTGAAGCAGCGATACACGAACATCACATAACACACCCACACAACTCACAGACACCTCCACGGTGGCATGCGACGATCCTGACGGTAGGCAGCAGCTGCGCGAAATGGAGGCAGCAACGGCAGAAGAACGGACCCACCGGTGTCCTCTTCGTCACCGGTAAGGAAGCATGATCGATCTGCGACAACAACAACAATGCTTTACGTCCGTCGGCGGACCTGTGGGTGCTAGCAGTCGTTCGCTAATCAGAAAACAGATATGACAACGACTCATCGTCTTCATCGGCGGCGGCGCAGCGGCGGCAACAGCCTTGATGTTCATATCCCATGAATCGACATTCCTTTCTCCGTCATCGTCAACAGTGGGTCTCCGGGTGGTTCAGCTTCAACAACGGTGGCGAAGAGAGGTTGGCTGCTGTGGAACGGTCTCAGAAGCGGGTGGTCCTCGTTGTCGCCGGCAACAAGAAAGAGATAAGAGAGGTGGCGATCGGAGGTGAAGAAGTGGGAGTGGCGGCCGGTGAGGGAGGCATAAGGAGGGTGACGGCTGATTGCTTCTATTAGGGTTAGGGTTAGGGTTAGGCAATGGAACCTTTATATACATGTGCACCACAAAACTTTATCCCATAATGACATAAATAGTCCCTCCCTTCAGAAATAACTTCGAAATAGATCCCATAATTACATTAACAGCCCATCTATCCTAATTCCTTTCAAAATAAGTCAATAATTACCAAACGCACCCTGACTTCTGAAATCCTTTTCAAATTGAATCCAGAACTTACATTTTTAACCCCCAACTTCTAAAAATGTGGCAATTAACTCCTCGATCCCAACACCCTGCATAAATAGTTATTTATGAGTCCTTCATTTATTTATTTATTTATTTATTTATTTATTTAATAATAAACGGGGTTTTACAGCCACGTAGCACTAAGAGGTTCAAAGAGTTTTTTTTAAAAAAAAAAAATAATAAACACAACCTTAGTGTGGTTTCTGGTATGGTATCGGCAATGATGAAGGAAGGTGCCATGGTTTGGAACACTATAAACTCGCCGCTTATGTTAGTTCTTTATTGAAAGTTACACTTGCATCCCTTCTATTTTGGATAACTTTCAATTTCACTCCGAACAAAAAAAAAAAATAGAACGACTGAAAATAAAATAAAAATAAAAATAAGAAAAAAGCAATGTTTTAAAAAACTGGTTTTTTAGTTGAACCAATCGTGTGACCGGTTTCCGGTTCAACCGGTTTTCTTAATTTTTTATGTTTATTATTTTTTTTATCTACATATATATTATTATATACAACATAGAATTTAACATCCACACATTCAAACAATAAAAATACATATGAAAATTATTGTAGATCAATCCAAACACATTAAAAAACATATTGTCATAGGTTTTACATCAATTCAATACATCCAAAAAACATAAAACGTAATACCTAAACAAAAAATATTGTTTTAGCTTAAAAGTAACGCATCAAGATCAAATCAAACTATGGATCTTGAGACATCGGAGTGTTATACGCATCAATCTCACGATTGCTTAATAAATAAAATTCACTGTCAACTTCATCATTATTAAAAACAGGGTCAGTTTCTTTTTCTACAATATAAAAAAAAGGTTAATATCACGAAATAGCTTAATAATAAACTAAAATTATAACACTTCATTAATATTTATGCAAAAAATATCAACTTGTGTTTGAGCAGCCGGTTCATGCTCTTCTTCATCAAGCATATTTTCTAAATCATTGTAATCAAGTTCTCATTCGACTCTTTTTCAACCACCCAAAAATTGGTCTTGTCAATACATTCATAGTCAATAGGATCGTAAGATTTTTTATCAACCTTGAGTCTACAAAATCATTCACAGAAAAAGTTGTAAAAATAAAACAACATTGTTATTAGTTAAATATTTTATTATAATAAAATGTACCTATATTTTTAAACGCAAGTTGTAGTGCACAAATACAAGATCATTTAGTCTTTGATGTTCCAACCTATTCCTCTTTTTTGTATGAATCCTTTCAAAGACACTCCAATTACGTTCACATCCGGAAGAAGATGCGGTTTGGCTTAGTATTCTAATAGCAATTTTTTTGTAATATTGGAGTATCTCCGCCAAATACCTTCCACTACTCATCTACAAATACAATTGTAAGAATATATATATATATATATATATATATATATATATATATACATATATATATATATATATCACAAGAATATAGTTAATAATAGTATACAAAAGTTAAATGTTACCTGGATGGGTACTAGTACGAGAAGCAATGACATTATATCTACCAAAAGTACCTTCACTTTCACGAAACTTGCCTAGAGATAGTGTGAGATCTAAAATGCTTGTACCGGAAAAATTCTTCTCAACCATATCGAGAATACCTTGAAACACATCTCTCTTAGAACAAACATTCTCATGATTATACTGAAAAACTGGATTTAACTAATACGTTGCACAATGAATACTTTTTCTTAGCATTATATCCCAACGAAGATCAATTATGTCAGTATAAGGCTTGTATAATTCTTTCTTCTTCTTAAATAATTCCTTTACCCCTCTTCTTGCCCGGTACATTCCCTCATAAACATAACCCAATGTAGGTTTTTCATCTGAATCACATAACCGTAAAAGTCTTAACAAAGGAGTCATCACTTTTACCGTAATCAAACAATTTCTCCAAAAAATTTCATTCAAGACAATATCTTTACATTTAACTGCATTTCTCACTTTCAACGTCTTCTTAAAGTCATTAGGTATGACCATTGCTTGTAAATCGACTTTATGGTCATACAAACTTTTTAATGCAATAAACGCAGTACCAAAACGGGTAACACCTGGACAGATGATTTATGTCCAACCATATCTTTTTCTTAACCATTTCAAGGGCCACTTATGATTGTAAATAAAAACAGTAACTTTGGACGCAAGAGTGACCAAACTTTTTATATTATCCAATTTCAAAACATCATTTAATATAAGATTAAGACAATGTGTTGCACATGGAGACCAAGTAATAGAAGGATATCTTTCACGTAGCTTATTACCAGCAAGTTTGTAATTGGCAGCATTATCAGTAACAATTTGAACCACATTCTTGTGTCCTACCATTTCAAGAATCTCAGCAAACAAATTGCACAAATTTGAAGCATTACTCTCTACATCAGATGCATCAACAAATTTAAGAAATGATATTCTTTTCGAACAATAAACCAAAAAAATTAATTAAATGGTGTTGCCTAGTATCCCTCCACCCATCACTCATAATTATGCAACCACTTTCAATCCATTGACTTCTAAATGAATCAATTAACAATGAAACAGACTTCTCTGCATCAGACAATAAATTGGCCCTCAAAGCATGATAATTAGGTGCTTTATACCCATGACCAATACCCGCTATTTTATCTACCATGTGTTGAAAATAAGGAGAGTTACAAGCATTGATATGTACACATGCATCATAGAACCACATTACAATTGCTAAATCGACATCACATATTTTTTGCTTAGTTTGCATGACATATTTAATAGTGGGTTGAGAATGATCATTTATACTTTTTGTGAAGGATGAAAATTTGATGTACCTTTCCGTTTTCCTTCCTTATTAGTATGTGCTTTGACATTTTGATTTTGTGTTTCTTCCGTATCTTCATCGTCATCCGAGATAGTAACATTGTTTATGCCATCACCACTAGCTTTGCGTTTTTCCTTTTGTGCCGTTTCTTTTAAAAGACCGTGCATTAAGAAACGGACTTCTTGAGATACTTTAGTACAAACTGATATGTCACCACTAACACCGACAAGGTGTTTCTTAGCTATGCTTATTCCACCACCACGCCAAAAAATTTCACAAAAATTACATATGTAACTTTTGTTTCCTTTTTCATCCTTAACTATAGTTATATGTTCACATGCTTTATCTGTCTTCGTTTTTACATTTGATTCAACGAAAGGTTCTGATTGAGATTGTGTTTCCATTGGTTGTTTGTCTCTAGAATCCATGTTGAACTGTATTTTAAACCTTAGAACAATTTCAAAATTAGAATAACAAACATAAGCTAAAAATAATAAAATTTAACAAATACAAATTGACTAACCATTAACCAAATAGTTTTTGAAGTTCGATATATATATATATATATATATATATATATATATATATATATATATATATATATATATATATATATATATATATATATAATAAACTTAAGCAGTGGGTAAGGTTTCGTTCATAACCAACATTAATTAAAATAATGTATAGTAAACAAGATAGGACTTACCGACTTATGTATTGATTTTTTCAATTAACTTAATTAAAGTCATATATGGACGATGGATTAAAATTGAACTAAAAAACACATGTGCTCAATTCTTACCTTAGTAGGTTGCGGTTTTTGAAGATGAAGACTGTATTAAAAAAAAAGCAACTTTATTATGGAAGATTATGTATTGATCACGATCGACCATGGAGATAACGAGAGATAAGAACTTGACCTACTGTTCGTAACATTCAATCTAAACTGCAGGGTATATTTGTTGAAACTTGTGAAGCCCGCACTCCATATTTTAGCCCAAAAGTTTTTAGTCACCGGTCTAAACGATATTTAACCGGTTCATTACAACAGGTTCAACCAGAAAATAACAATAACCGGCCGGTTCACCCCGGCATGAAATCTAGAAAAAACCCGGTCCTAATTAAACCGGACACTACACCGGTTCCCGGTTCGACCGGTCGGACCGGCCGGTTCGAGCCGGTTTTTAAAACACTGGAAAAAAGTAGTCAGCTGGACCGATAACAAATAGTGCAAATTACACAGATAAGACACTAAGAACTAAGAGGGATATTGTAGAGTCGAAGTCTTGTAAAAAGTCAAATAGGGTTATGTCTCATTTCGTATGTAATCTATTTTGCTAAGTCATTTGTATTCGAAGCTTAATGCGTTTAGACTTAGTATTTTTTGTACTCTCTAGTTTCCTATAAATAGGGACTTTGCTTAGGATTAGACTAACGAGTTTTCCCACTTCATTAGTCGATTTTGTATCCAAGTTCAGAGAGTAATAAAGCTTACAAACAAATCATATTTACATTCGTTGTTTTTACTTTCAATCAGAACTTGTTTAATCATGTTTCGTATTTGATGCTCGATTACAATTCTTCATCAGTTGGTATCATAGCAGAAATCAAACTGCATTGATCTGATTTTCAATTTGAATCACATGATTTCGAGTCATCATTTTGTCTTAAAAATTTCCGCTCATTTGGTTCTGAAAATCATCTTTGATCTTCAAATTTGATTCGATTTTGTAATAGAATTGTTTAATCGAGTGATCAAATATTAGTTTGTGATCAATTCGCTTGATCATATTTGAAATTCATCAAGTTTTCAAGTTTTTCTGAAATTTTTTATTGTGTTCATCAATTGCGAACTTCAACATGAACACGATGACTTCTTATTCTCATTTGCTTGGTTCTTCAACCAAAATTCCTACGTTGATCCCTGAGTATTACGATCAATGGGCTGATCGAATGGAGGATTATTTGAATGGACTAGATGAGGAGCTTTGGAAGTGCATCAATGGAAATGTTCAACCTCCATTGAATGTTCAAAACTTAGGTTCGTCTGGAACCTCTTATAGAGTTGGAGATCAACAAACTCGCATGAAGAACAATGAAAAACAATGCATGCGGGAGTTAAAAGGTGCCTTGCCACCTGTTGTTTACAACTACATCCTTGGTTGTAAAACAGCAAAGGAGATCTGGACAACACTTAAAGAGAAATATCAAGGCAGAGAGAAAACAAAAATCAACTTTGTGAAACAATGTATGGTGGAGCTGAAAGAATTCAGACAGAAAGAAACATAAACGGTTGAAGATTATTATGATCGTCTGATTGAACTCATCTACAGGTGCAATCGTTATGGAACCACGAGGTCGCTCATGGAGTTTAATCTTACATTTGTCATGGGACTTCGCAAGGAGTGGCGAAGTGTTAGCATGATGATTAAAAACCAGCAAAGTTTCAACAATTCTACTTTGAATGATCTTTACAATCAACTTAAGACGCATAAAAGTGAAGTTGCTGAGATGATGGAAGAATCAAAACAAAGCTTAGGAGGTCCGTTGGCTTCGGTTTCAAAGATTTTTGAAACTGATTCTGCATAGAAAGAGGTGTCTGATGATGAAGGTTTTCTAATGAATTCGGATGACGAAGTTGTGGATTTCTATTCGAACAATAGGGTCAAAAAGTTCTTCAAAAAGCTTTCAATCCGAAAGGAAAACAAAGTGATGTGAAAGGAAGTTTTGTAAAAGCAGGAGGAGAAGATAAGAAGAAGTTTGAAAAGAGTGATGAGAAGGTGAAAGAGTTTAAAGCTGAAAAGAAATTGAAAGGAGATTCCGGTGTTGATTGCCACTACTGTAATGGGGCAAATCACTTCGTTGCTGATTGTATGCTTCGGAAGAAGGATGAAAAGAAGAACAAGGTGAAGGATGAAGCGTATTACGCCGAGAAATTGGAGGAGGTTCATTCTAAGGCGAAGGGATTATCTCTAGTGACGAGAGGAGAAGGTGATGATGATGAAAGTGGTACCTATCAGATCTGGTCTTCCGGATCTGATGATGAATAGATGAGGCATCCAACACATGGTGCCATGTTTGCAAGCTATGAGGAAGAGGCTGAAGAGGAAATTTCAGGAAGATGCTTCGTTTTGAAATCTGGTGATAAGTCTCCAATGACAACCAAGGTACGTGCTATACTCGAATCTTTTAATATCCCTTTAAGTGCTTATGATTCTAAAATAATTGCTTTCGATAACACTGTTGCTTATTTCAATGCTATTGTTGTACCTGCTAGTAATGAGGCTTAGAAACTTAACTGTCAATTGGCTCAGACACGAAAGCACTTAGATACGAAAGCGTAGCAGAGTTGAGTACTTATAATTGCAAATGAACAATGTCAATATTGATATAGATAATCTTGATAGAGAAGTAAGGCTATTGTTAGCACAAATAAGCATCTACTGTAATTCAGCCAAAAGATTGTATGCAAAGTTAACAGCATTACATCATTCTTCATATATATAAGCAAAGAACAACATAGAAAATTGTTGCCTTTTCTTGAATATGAAAGAGAAAAAGTTGATATAGTTTCGTATGATTGTGAAAACACCATAGCTCAATTTGATAAAATACCAGATGATAGAACGCTTATGGTGTTGTGAAAATAGATGAATACAGCAGTACGCGGGGCGTACGCGTCCGAATCGTCATGGCATGTGTCATCCGAAGAACTCGAGTGCGAGGGACGTCACGCTTCGCTGTACGCTGGGCGTACTTCGGATATGCTCAGTGACTCCCATTCGGATAATGTCGGATTTCATAATTAAATTTAAATATTAATTATTTAATAAAATTTGAAAATTCATATCTTCTTCATACCAACTCCGTTTTCGACGTTCTTTATATCCACGCGTAGGTGAGACTACGCTCTACAACTTTCATTTAGACTCTGTCGGCTAATTTTGACTTTATTTTTATTAATTATTTTTTGTAGGCCGGGACAGAAAAACTTCGTTATAAATTCATAACTTCTTCGTTTGACGTCCGTTCTCGCCTAACTTTTCATCGCTTTGATACCAACAACGAGATCTTCGATTCTCGTTTAGATTGTTTTGGCTAAAAACCGCTCGATCTCAAATCGAGTATTTCGGGCTGCATACCGCTAAGTCGAAACTTCAATAAATCATAACTTCCTCATACGAAGTCAGATTTGGGCGTTCTATATATATTCGGAAACCTCGTTTCAACTACTACAACATTATCCAAAGCTAACTAGTTTATTTTACACTTAAATTTTGATGCTTATTTTTATTCTTAATTAATCAAACCACATAATTAAGCAATTAAGCATAAAACACATAATACTCAAATAATACACTTATATTATTTCAAAACGGGTTACAAAGGTTAACCTAGATTATTATATCAACATTAATGACAGGCCCAGAAACACAGGCGTTACAATTCTCTCCACCTTAGAATGATTCCGTCCTCGGATCACACATCAACAAACAAATGCGGATAGCGACCCATCATGTCACTCTCCGTCTCCCAGGTGAGATTCGGCCCATTCGTGTGTTTCCATCGGACAAGCACTAACTCGACCATCTTGCGTCGCAACTTCTTAGTCTTTCGGTCAACAATTGCCTCTGATTCTTTAATCAACCTTTTGTTCTCATCGATTCTGAACTCCGAAAGTGGAAAAATGTCGGGAACTTCTCCTATGAACTTCCTCAAGTAACACACATGAAAAGTGTTATGAATTCCATTCAGTTCTTCTGGTAGTTCGAGCTTGTAAGCTTGGTTCCCAATCCTCTGAAGAACTTTAAATGGTCCAATAAACCTTGGACTTAATTTTCCCCTTTTACCAAATCTTATAAGTCCCTTCCACGGCGAGACTTTAAGCAAAACTGAATCCCCAACTTCAAAAGTCATCGGTGTTCGCTTTTTGTCAGCATAGCTCTTTTGACGATCCTGAGCTGCTAACATTCTTTCCCTAAATATTTTCAACTTTTCAGCAGTTTTATGAACCATCTCCGGTCCCATAAACTGCTTTTCCCCAGCCTCAAGCCAACAAGACGGCGTACGACACTTCTGTCCATACAAAGCTTGGTAAGGTGCCATCTTAATGCTCGAGTGAAAACTATTATTATAGGAAAATTCTACCAAAGGTAAATGTTCATCCCAATTACCTAGGATTTCCAAGGTACATGCTCTTAGAATATCTTCAAGTGTTTGTATCGTTCGTTCGCTCTGACCATCAGTCTGCGAATGGTAAGCTGTACTTAAACACAACTTGGTACCCATTTCCTCTTGTAGACTTTTCCAAAACCTCGAGGTGAAACGGCTATCACGATCCGATACAATCGTTAACGGAACACTGTGAAGCCTCACAATTTCCTTCACGTAAGAATTTGCAAGCTTCTTCATAGACCATTTCTCCTTGGCTGATATGAAATGTGCACTCTTAGTGAATCGATCAACGACCACCCAAATCATGTCGTGACCATTCTTTGTTTTGGGCAGTTTAGTGACAAAATCCATAGCAATGTCTTCCCACTTACCCATAGGCACAGACAATGGTTCTAAACTCCCGTACGGTTTCTGATGTTGTGTCTTGACTCTCGCACAAGTCACACACTCGGCCACATACTTTGCAACATCAAGCTTCATCGTCGGCCACCAGTAGTAGGGTTTTAGGTCCCTATACATTTTAGTGCTACCGGGATGAATCGAGTACATGGTTTTGTGAGCTTCTTCCATAAGAAGATCTCTGACTCCTCCTGTCTTAGGTATCCAAATCCGATCTTGGAACACCTTCAGTCCATGACTATTTACACCGAACACCAACGTTTTGCCTAAACATTCATCCTTTCGATCATTCTTCTCAGAAGCTTCACTTTGAGCTTTCTTTATAATTTCCAAAATAGTCTAGACAACTTTAATTCTCAACGCTCTTGGCCTTTTCCTTTCAAGATTGACTTTCCGACTGAGAGCATCAACAATAACATTAGCCTTACCGGGGTGGTAAAGTATCTCGCAGTCGTAGTCTTTAAGTAATTCTAGCCAACGTCGTTGCCTCATATTCAATTCCTTCTGATTAGAGAGTTATTAGAGACTCTTATGATCAGTGAAAAGTTTGCACTTTGTGCCATAGAGGTAATGCCTCCATATCTTCAGAGCGAAAACTACCGCTGCCAACTCCAAATCATGAGTCGGGTAGTTCTTTTCATGCTTTTTCAGCTGTCGAGACGCATATGCTATCACCTTTTCTCTTTGGGTCAAAACACAACCCAATCCAACCCCAAACGCATCGCTATAAACAGCGAAGTCTTCAACTCCATCGGGTAGAGAAAGTATCGGTGCCTCGCATAACTTCTTCTTTAGCTTCTCGAATGCTTCTTTATTCTTATCATTCCAAGCATAAGTAGCTCCTTTGTGGGTCAAAGCTGTCAGCAGAGTAGCGATCGAAGAAAAGCCTTGGATAAACCTTCGGTAATATCTGGCTAATCCCAAAAAGCTTCGGATCTCCGTGGGACTTTTCGGTTGTTCCCATTTCATCACAGCTTCGATCTTCGCTGGATCAACCATTATCCCTTCTTGGTTGATCACGTGACCCAAGAATTGGAACTTCACGAATCCAAAAATCACATTTGGAGAACTTAACATACAACTTCTCCTTCTTCAAGACTT